TTGTGGGGAGGAGATGCCCAGGGGTCCGGGAGCTTTAATTTGGTGACAAAGCCTCATTTGCAGATCAATGAGACGGCACACTCGCCTCGCCTCTCTTTCTAACTCCGCTTTTGTCACCCATCGTCTGCTCCTACTGCCAGATGGCCATGGAAAATGCTAATTCCCTTTAGCTGCAATTTTTTTTTCTTTTTATATTTAATTGCAGTCTTTGCAGATGGGAGGTGTGGAGTGTGCGCTTTATTTAAATAGGATTTGCTTTTTTTTTTGTTTCCAGGCACGTTGCTTACAACGTGGACGAGTTAAATACACTGCGCTTAGCATCTGACGGGAAAGTTTGCAGATTTAAATCCCTGTCAGTTCCTGCGGAAACAGTCACACGTAGATTGTGGGGTGTGACAAGGAGAGAAAATTATAACTGTGTACTTAGATTTCATTTTTAACAGTAAACTATGTTTTAAAAATAAACAGCTATCACTCAAATATAGTTTCAACTCACATAGTATATAACCACGGAAATGCTCTTCACAAAACGTGCAACTATAAATAGGCCTAACATCACTAACTAGTATACAATTGTGTCTTTAACAATGTGTCTGAACAATTGGTTTTAAAATGAATGCATGATCTTTAGTACTGAACATCATAACACGTAATCCGATGGTTGGAGTTTTTGTCAAAGCAAATTCTGGGAATTTGTTTCCAGAGACTTTCCTTGCAAATGCAGTCTTCTAGCCCATCAACCTATTGCTACTGATACGACTTTTGTTACAGTAAACGTGGGATGAGGTCTAACTGAACAGTGATTTTACAGTCGGTATTCTGCGATGCACGTCTTCGACAGACCGAGAAATGCCGAAGTCCCGGAAAGGGACCAGCGCTGGGCTCGGCGACACGGCGAGTGACGGAATCCTCGCGCCCCCAGACGCACCGGGCCAGCTGATGGACACGGGTCACATGCGGGTCACATGACCTCTCTCAGAAAGTGGACACACGGACCTCTCGCTGTTTCTAGATGACATGGTGCGTCACTCTGCTGCACACTTCAACATGTGTTTTCACTGAAGGCAGTGACCGAGGAATGAAAGAGACTGAACAGTTGGATTTGAGATGGGTCCAAGAGATAGGATGACAAAGTCGTGTAGTATGTACACATTTTTCTATCAAACTACGTGATTATAAAGTGTTATTAACACTTAATTTTTTTACGTGTATAAAACCCTAAAAGATTCCAAAGGTCCCCATGTAATTATCGTATTCGGTTACAGAGTCTTAAGTCTTACATGTTTACAAAAACATGACGTTAAAAAGAAAAACTCTCACAATGTATTTTCCGCGCATGATCTTAATGTTTTATTTACACTCTAGATTAAATACCCCATGCATTTTAATACAATTCAAATTATTTTTTTTATTTTAGAATGTTGTTGAAACAGACTTAACGTCACCCTATAGTCGTTAAGTTGGAGAACTATCGGGAAAACTTTGCTAAATAAAAACACACAGAAATTACTCCACTATTTGAAATACTGATAATTATGGTTCTATTGTTTACAAATACAAGCAGAAAAGCTCTGTGAGTGAGCGATTTTAGGATGTTCCCAATATAACGTTTTATTGCTGCTGCGGGGCTTGGTCTGTGGAGACTGGACGTACAATTGTTTTCACTTTACCAGCTGCCTGTAGCGATACAAATAGACCGAAATGTACTTAACAGCGTTCCATGCACAGGATAAAGTTTTTAAGATAAAGTATTCAGTAAGAAATCTAGCAGCGCAGTGATATGTTCTCCAGCTCTGCCCGCGATAAGGGGCTTCACAGTTCTTCCACCGTGGGATGTTGCTTTAATGTTCCCTAAATACATAAACAGCCGAACTGAGCAACAGGCAGATTTATATGGGTGAAACCCTGGAAGACAAAGTGAACGATCGGAGTTTCATTTCTGCACGGTCAAAGAGCGGTCTTTACAAATACGTGTCCTGGTGAATCACACTTCGAATCTGGAGAAGGTGCCTCACTACTGAACCGAATTATATACCCACATGTGTTGCCGACGGGGGCTGTTTTAGACGAGACCTCACCCTTGTGCTCGGGAGTGGTGCTGTAGGCGTTATATTCCTCGTCTGGCTGCACGGAACGGCGGAGGCGGTCGCAGGTGCATCAGCTGGTGCTCAGGCCTCACTGTCAGTGTGTCTTAGAAAACCCGCACCTTTCACGGTCGAGTGTACACGCTTGATCAAAATCGATTGTAAACTGATTATTTTGTCCTCCACCGTAAGATAAAAATAGCGACATGTGTAAAACGTTAAATTACCTTTCAAGAGTTCTGCAACAGTTGAACAGTTTATTTGAAAGACTAAAGAGATTAAAAAAACCTGATCCTATAAACCGAGGGAAAATTATTGTAAAAAATAATATATCCCCAGTCATCTTGTCCTATACACATAAGTGAATCCAAGGTCCGGTAACGGTCTTCTGTCACGTTTATAAACCATCTAAATTTCAACGTTATGGTGGTAGCTGCGTATTAATACTCAGAATAAAATCAAAGAAATATGATTTGCGCTTTTAACACAAATCTAAATATATGTGTGCGTGCAATTTCAGAGTTCATAGATACATAGGTGAGATCGTACATTCATTATACTTATTTCAAGATATGCTTTGTTTTTCAACGTTTCCATAATGACTACCCGCTTCTACCTCGCGTACAGTAGGTACAGTACACTACCACTGTTGTATCGTGTTGCTCTCCTGGTAAAAGTCAGGGTGGGAGAAAATGTCCAATAATATTAAATAAAAATAAAAATTCGCTTTTAGTAAATGAGAAAAAGCAACACTGAAGAAAAACGTTTGAGCACATTGATCAGTTTGGGAAAATCTATGTTGCACTGCTTTACAAAACTAAATTATCTCACCCCTGTTACCACTGGAAATGGAATCACGTTTTTACATACAATAAACCACACACACAAACATCTTATATAGACAGACAGATCTTCACATTGCATACTACAGGAAATACATTGTCTGTGTCCCGGAGACTTCATTAAAGCTGTGATTCATGTTGTATTTGGACATCTGTTATCTTTAAATTATAAAGTGCTCTGAATCTAAAGGAAACCTTATTGGATTGTGTCTATAGGCGCATATGGCTCATAATTAGCAGGATATCCCCTTATGTTAAATTATTTTTTTCCACTCACTGGCATCAATAGAAGAGGCAAACAACGTCCGAATTGTTCTCCGATGCAGGACATTATGTGTCTGAATAAATGGGACTTGGCGAATGGCTACAAGGACGTGCCATATGGCTACAAAGCAGGGAAGAATGGAGACTGTGTGCTTTGTGCTGGAAATCAGAACCAGGCAATCGAAGGTGGAGAGTGTGTCTGTGTGGAATGGGGGCGGGGGTGGGCGTTGCCAAGTCATTCATTAGGAATATCTACATACACGAATACAGTATAGAAAATGTATACTTGTTTACTGGCCTGGTGTCTGGTTTTCGTTGTAATTCCCTCTTAAAAAAACAATTTTCGGTTATAATTTTGGAAGCAGCAATCTGTATTGCGAAATTCGGTTGTAAGTAAATTACTACGTCAGTAGAGGTTAAAGGCTGTACATTTGTGTTCGACTGATACAGTCACTATATGGCAGGAGGTCTTGTCGGGCAGGAATGCGTGTTTTTACGACAAAACGAAATACACTTTCTTGAACGAATGAAAACCATAAAAGAGAGTCGATTCATAAAACAATGAGATTAAAAAAACTCGGGGGGTGGAGCAGGTGTCTTTAATTGCTGCAGGACTGATTTCGGCAGAAGCAGCGTCTTTAAGAAGGTCCTTTAAAGGTTTTTTTTCACTGTTACATCTGATGGACAATAGGGGCTCCCAGAGGCACCTGGCTTTCTAAGTGGCACGTATTGTCAAACAGCTTTGTTCGGTGTAGTGGCACTCGTTTTTAAACTAGTATCAGTAGACACCGTCCTGCAATAAGAATATAGGTGCAACTACTGCTGAGCATATACGCATTGAAACGCAGCTGGAATACGGCGACTGAGAATGCTAACGAGCTACAATTAGTCTCGTACTCTGAAACGATGAGGAAACCTCCCTACAGCCTCTACCATATCCCCGCGATGAACATTTTTGGGCGTAAAGGCAGGATAATAGTGTTTTAAGGCAATGCACCTGTGAAAAGTGCAACAGAATGCGTATTTTCAGAAGAGGTGTCCCCTAAAATCTGTGGTCCTGCGATCAACAGGCCTGTGGAGATGTAGCCCACATCCGATTGATTTGCAAGTGTGCTCCTGAATCGATCCTGCGTGCAGAATGAGGAAAGCAGAGCACTCCCGCGAGCCCTGCGCCACCGCGCTTCACAACACCAGTCCGTCACCGGCTTATTTTTCCATTTTTAAATTCCGAACTCCTCAAGTCTCTCAAGCCGGCCTCTAAGTGTTTGTCATTTGAAACAAGATCCAGCCGTTTCGTAATCTTTTTCCATCACCCGCATTTTTAAAGTGCCATGGGGGTGATAAACTCGTTTCACAAAGTGTCACGTTTCCTGCAATCCGGCACTTCAGTTTCGAAGCGAAATGTAGACACAAATACTCGAACATTTTCAGACCGATGTAAAAAATATCCGCTCTTTATATTACTACGTATTAAAAAAAGAACACCAATGCAACTGGCCCTTTACATTAAGCGAAAATTTAGAACCCAACTACATCTCCCAATGCGAAACATGTCGGACTTAAACCAGAAGAACAAAAAACAACTGCATTTACTCACATCTGGCATGTTGAATAAAAAAAAAAACAGGCTGCAGCAGGTGTTTGATTCTCCATAAATTTACTCGTTCTGAATAGAGCGCTTTCCTCTGTGCCTGGGCGTGTTGCGGGCAATTTTTAAACATCCTGCATAGGTCTGCATCGAAGGGATTGGAGGATGGAATTCAATCACTCCTCATCAAGGGGGATTTAAAGCAGCAAAGACAAATCAAGATTTAGGAATGAACCTTTCAACTTTATTCGCTTCTTCAGGGGAAAATGAAATGGCAGTGATTATAAAACGGCTCAGAAACATTTGGACCCTAATCTTCAAGTAATACTACTTTTCCAAAGCTACATCATTACTGATTGCAAAACAAAAATATAACTTTTATTCCGTAAATAGCAAAAAAAAAAAGTTGCCCTTTGGCTCAAAATAACAAAACAATAGGCATTCGCCCATGTGAACTCGATACATAAATAATTATAAGTTAGTATATTTTAAAAATATATATACACAACTCCAAGATGCAATATCAACAGAAATAAACAATATATATAATCTTTAATATTGATGACTCTTAAAGCTTTTACACTTTTGGCCAGTGTTGACATAACTAAAGATTGCACAGCTGTTAAAGTTTAACACTGTCGAGCTGCTCGGTAACCGGGCCGCGGGTATGCTACATGTTTTCAGTCCTTCCAGAGCCCAGTCCTCTCCTCTCTCTCACTCCTCGCCCAGGAGCGAGTCCAAACTCGGGAGAGACAGCCGCCTCGCCTCTCCGTCGGACGAAAGCAGAAAGAGACCTCTTCGCCAGAATGTAGTGCAATTTCCTGAAAAACGAAAACAAAAAAAAATGAGTACTCACTTCGCTTTTCGCTTGCATCTTTTTTTTTGCGCTCTCGGGTACAATCACATCTCCCCATTCCCCTCAACCTACAGTCAGCCACCCCCCTACCTCCACACACAAAAAAAATCTGTGCAGAACTACTGCAAACGTCACCAGCTCCCGAAATCTTTCCCGCCACGTTGACGTCAATCCCCACCCCCCTCCTTCAATTTTCACCAGGGCTCCGCAAGGATCCGTCTCCCAGCCCGGAGCTTAAACGTCGCAGCTATCGCATGTTTAATTATAAGACCAGACCTTGCGAAACCATGTCCCCCCCCGTTGCAGTGGAATCAAAGACTGCTTTGGGTAGGAATCGTGTACATGAAACGCTACATACACCCGTCCTCAGCTACGAACTGCAGAACAAACAAACAAAATAAACTCCTTCCATAAGATAACTACTTGAATACGCACCATTTAGCGAATCCTCTTGCGTGGAGTCTGTTCTGTGGGGATTACTGAAGATGGCTGGGAGTCACTCTCGGGCTGTTGCTTAGCCTCGCTCATTTTCTTCTTCTTCGGGTAGAAATCTAAAGGCATGAACAAACTGTGATGAGCCGTGTGCGGTGCAGAGCACAGAGCATGCACACACGAGCAGCAGAGCAGTGCCCCTCTACGCCCAGCGCACGTCAGGCGGAGCGGGCGACTGAGGAAGCGGTCCGGGCAGTCGAGCCTACCTGTGATGTGCGTTGTGGCTGGGTTTGCGGTGACGACTGCAGATGCCCTTTTCCGTCGGCAGCAAAGAACGGTCCTGCAGCTCGCCGCTCTTCCCAGATTCAGGTGATCCGCCCTGTTCTCCTGGTTGGTTTCCCCCGAGCTCGCCGTGCCTTCCAAGCAGGACAGCCGACTGCCCAGCGCCGGGCAAGCGGCAGGTACATCCCGAGGGCAGTCCCTAGCAGAATTTGTATCCAATGAGGTTCTGGCCCGGACTGGGACGGTAATCCGCACTCGGCCGATCTGGACCGAGTCTCTGTAGAAGTCGGGGACGCTGTCCACCTTACTCTCCTCCCAGCCATAGTCCCCCTCCAGTGGCGTGTCCGTCTGGAAGTCGAAGTTCCACCGGCGCCGGTCCCGGTCCAGGATCTCCAGCAATTTGGATTTCATCTCCCGGTTTAGCTCGTCGTGGTCCACCGGGCCGAACAAGTTCCTGCAGACTCCCGTCCTGGCGTGATGAGGGAAGGTCCTGCTTGCGGCCACTCGCTCCAAAGTAGTGGAGAGCTGGACGTCGGACATGGTGCTCTGACGGGGGGAGGAGAAAAATACCTATTGCAATCCAACCGGGAGAGGAAAAACAGTAAGGATAAAACTGAGATTCGTTGGATTTCGAAATAACCCAGTCTAAACCGCCGTCTCCTTGGAATGTTTACTGTTTTGCTCTCCTACTCAAGATGGGGTGGGAGGGGGGTAAAAACACTTGAGAATTGGAGCAGTTTAAACTCTGCGTTGCGGCTGCACGCAAGGCACTATTTAAAGTCCAAAGGTGTACACGCTTGTATACCCAGCCAGCACTGTGACGGGATTGGCCAGGCGTCGCCCCGCCCCCCGGTGACGACGCGTGTGTGCAGTTTGATTTCATTGGCTGGGCGGCAGACCTGGACGAGCGCCAAGCGCCGCCGAGCTCGGATTGGTTCACGGCGACGTCCGTCAGAGAGGAGGGGAGGGGGAACAGCAACTGAGTTACTGTTTGTAAAGCGGAGCTGAAGTTATTGTTGCAGGGCTATTGCTGAATGTGACGTCTCTTCTCTCTCTGGTTTTACAAACGTCTTTATCCGAAATTAGGATGTTCTCTGCAAGAAAAAAAAAAGTCCGGCCACACGGGCAAAGCATTAACGTGAACAATCGAGATTAATGCATTGAATTATGAGCGCAATTTTCTGTCCGTTTTTGTTTCTCTAGATGTAACACGAAACAAAGCGATTAGTAGCCCAGCGAGCTCCGCGATGGTTACCGATTTTCGTGTGTATGTGTTTTTAAATATTTATATTGCCTGAAGGATACAGGTCTTGCGCCTGACTTTATCCCAGCTCTGTAGACTGTTCCTTTAAAGTATGAGACCTTCATAGACATGCAAATTATTTTTCCTTCTGTATTATTCAGAATGGGGAATTATGAGAAAAAATGGGAAAGGGAGGCTGTAGATCTTACACGAGTTGAGTAAGAGCGATGAAGGCTCGCAGTGGTTTGTTTCAATTCTTTTTTAAGAATATTTCGTCTTCTTTACAAATCAGTACACAAGACATCATGAAAAAAATAACCCCTTATTAAATACTATATGCCTAATACATTCGTATTTACATTTCAGCAGTTTTTTCTGTGTTAGCCACCCTAAAACCAATTTTTGTTCCGTGAGACATTGTTAAACAGAGACACCAGCTGAGGACCTGTAGTATTACAATTTGCACTAATTTATGATTTAAATTTGCTACGATAGTCTGTCCCACCGTCTCTGTTTATAAATGAAAACGCACGGAAATTATAATTGCTGAAGTGTGTATTAATTTAAGCGCCGCACTGCGCTGGATGAGCACAAAACGACCTGTTTAACAGATGACATATTTCCTGCAAGTCCCGTCTAATGGAAAGCTGGTCGACAGAATCGGATATTAAACTACATTGAAAGTCCATTTAGTTTTAGAAGAAAATAAACTAGGACATAAAAGGTTGTAGGAAAATAGCTTTTGATATTGGTAAAACCTAATGTAAATCTTCTATGCAATGTTCGTCTCTGAAATCCATTTTAAGCAACGTATGAGCGCTTCCAGTGAAAGACCGGTAATTTTCCCTGTTTTAAATAGGATCTCCCGTGGACCGAAAACGTTCAACAATAGATCTGATAGCCGGGAGTGGATGGGGATGGGTGGAGAATCTCGATAAGTGTTTTATAAAGGTGTTATTTTCAACAATGCGTAACCTAACCATGATCATCATACCTGTTTCATGGGAGAGGTAAACAACAATAACATTTAATTCGATGGAATAATTTAAATATGTAATTTTTAAAACCCTCCAAAGCAATGTGCAAATACCAAAGTTCTGCTTAAACTAGCCGTTTTCTATGCAGAATAAATAATAAATCCCGACGGGTTTAAGATTATTTAAATGGTAAACAGATTATGCATTCCAAACATGTCTGAAATGCCAGTGTGCATTCTGTACGCAGAACGTTTTCATTAGACGAACAAAGAAATGTCATTGTTAATTGTTAGCGTTAAGTGTTTTTAATTAAAAAAATAACAGCAAAAAGTAGTACAATAGATGGCAAATGCATTTGCAACGGTCCAAGTAAAGATTTATCAAAGAATTATTATTTTTTTACTGGTAAAAATAGTACGAACAAAAGGTATTTTATATCATTTAAAGGCTCTTCATTAAGTATATGCCATTTGGCCACTTGGTTCCTTTACTCTTAACAGGCGGCGCTTGTCTACTCTGAACGTGAGGCATTTTTTGTTATAATGCGCCATCTGGCGACAGTAAATGTTATCAACCGCAATGACGCTTTTCCCTATGTATTGAAGTGAACAGCAAACCTTCCAACGACCCTTTCTCAAGAATAAACTTTCCGACTTGTCGAGAAAATGTCGAAAATGTCGCAAATTAAAAGCTCAGTGTCATTCAATGACGTGCTGGATATCGATTCAGCGCTGTTCGTTTCCTCCCTGCTGGACTCGCTGGACCTGGGGGCTGGTTCTGGTTCCTGTGGGTTACCAGTCGGCTGGCCCAAAGGTGACTGTGGATGCCTGTACTGAGGACTCTGAGGAGTCTGATTCAGGGTTGTGGGAGAGCCAGAGAATATCCCGGCAGGCAACGGGCACAAGGCAGGATACATCCTGGATGGATTGACACGCACGCTCCGCACACACACCAGGGACAATATTCACAGAAGCCATTTACTGTACCAGTGTGTTTGTGGACTGTGGAAGGAAACTGGAGCACCCGGAGGAATCCCATGCAAAGAGGGAGAACATACAACAAAACTCGTTGCTGTCATTACTTTCACCTCCATGAGAACTGTCTCCTGTTCCTAACAGCTGGCACTGGGTCAGCACTACACTGGCATGGATTACAGATGTGACCCATCCATATGACTCCTATTCCACATCACCCACTGAAGATCAGGAGCTTTTTAAACCCTGAATCATTTCACCCCTACAAATTTCCAGCTTCAAGGCAGCAAACGAACTTATCAATTGTATTTTAGCTATGTCAAAGTGATCTTTGAATAGCCATTAACTACTTACATTTGAATAATGACTTTTATCCCAAAGAATCTCCTATATTGTTTACTTGATCTATGTCCATGCACATCAACATTTACTTTCAGTAGTTTCAGCAAATTTTATATTTGTCCATTACAGATCTGTGCCATATTAAAATGAGTCCCTAAATAATAATCAGGTATTGTCTAGTTTACCTCTTGCATAAATATCAATATTCTGTATGAGCATTTGTCTTAATCAGATCTTGTATAATGCACAAGAAATGATTGTATAATGCACAAGTTTTTATTAGTTTTATACTGTATTCATATTTGCTTTGTTTTGTGCCTGGTGTTAGGTCACAGTGCAATATGTCCTTTAGATCATAGCTGTTGGTTTTAAGATATAAGGACTAGAAAGAACCATTCTGGCACTTGATCTGTAGATTGGAAATTATTCTTGGAGCCAGGTTTAAAGGAATAAAAACTTGCTTTGCTGGAAGTTGAAAAGATACATCAAAGAAGCATTTTCCATGTTATTGCACTGCACGTGGTCCACTTGGTAAGAAAAAGGGCTTATTTCCAGATTTATGTGATTCAAGTACTAGCTTAGCATTTGACTAACCGTGTGTCATCCTGAATCACTCCAGCCTTGTCAGATTGTGACCATGAGGCAGCAGGAGATGAGTTTGATGAGCATGAGAGAGTTGCTCTCTTTAAGTTGTTTTGAATTAAAGTGCCTGCTAGCTAATAATTGCAGAGACTGCCACAGAGTTCTCCGACAGATTTGGTCACAGCTTGGCCAGGTAGCATAGTCACACAGAGGGCACTGTTGCTTCGCAGTGCTGGGCCCAGGGTTCAGTTCCTGGGGTGATATCTGTGTGGGGTTTGTATGTTCTCCCTGTGTTTGTGTGAGTATCCTCTTGGTGCTCCCATTTCCTCCCACAGACCAAAAACATACTGGTACATTAATTGGCTTTTGGTAAAATCGGCCTTGGTGTGAGGGTGTGTCTGTGTGCCCTGCAATGGACTGGTGTCCCATCCGATGTGGACCCTGCCTTGCACCTGTTGCTCAGCGGGATAGGCTCCAGTTCCTCTACGATCCTCTATTGGATAAAGTGGTCAGAAAATGGATGGATGGAAATCACAAAGAATGCAAACAGCTGAACACTCAACAAGAGAGACAGGAACCAGTAAATGATGCAGGACAGGTCAAGGTCACAGTCCTCTGGCGTACTGCACGTGGAAGAGCTCTAGCAGGGACCAGCTGAAGGAATATGCGTTGCCAGGTGATAGTCTTGTAAACGTTTGTTCCAGCACCCTCACGTACAGTTTTTGTGCAGCTAGTGAGCTTGTGTGCACCATGATTGGCTGACAGGACTACCTGCCTGATGCTTCCTGGTTGAACATGATGCTGATCAGCCAGCTGGAGGCTGGACGTCAGTCCAGCAGCAGGTGACCGTGGGACAGAAGCAGCAGGGAAGTCAGCTGTCTGGATTGAGAGCCCCAGATCTAGATCCAGCCATGACTGAACCGCCGGACCAGCCCCTGGTAGGAACTCTCTGTCTGTTGTGTTTATCACTTCACCTCTGTTATTGACTCCTGACTCTTGCACACCTAAACTTTCAAAACAGATTAAACTCCCAGTATAACATGACTTGGAACATTTGACCAAACTGGACATTAAAATGAATGCCCTTTTAATTTATTTTTCCTATAAATTATGTAGATAATGTAAAATGCCATATTGTAATTTGTACTGATAGTTTTCATTAATTTTAGTTTTATTTTTTGAACTGTGATTAAGAGAAACCTCTGTTTATGGAAAAAATAAATATCTTTATAATTGTGTGGAATTCATTTAGGAGATGTAGTTACATTTCATTTGGGTTTTCTAGTTAACATTTAACTAACTAAACATAGTCTCTTTATTAATTGTTACTGTGTCATTTCACAAAGGGTTTGGAAGTCAAATGTTTTTAATCTGAATGTATTTGCCATTCCTTGGAATGCTATTGCCCAAAATGTAATTAATTATTTAAATGTCAATGGTAAAACCTTATACTATATATGTACATTTGATAGAATGCATTTGAAATTGCTGTGTTCCAACAATGACACTTAACATAAGTGGTTTATTTTGTGAGTGTGGAAAATTGTGCTCTTAGTTTCTGTGTCCCATTAATAGGCAGTAACTGTATTTACACTTTTGTGCATGAATGATTTTTCACTTGGCAATAGTCACTCGAACAATTCACCATCAATGTCATTATAGTAAGAGTCTGACATCTGAGAAATAAAAGCAAGTGGGGTGGGAGAAGGAAGATCTTTACATTAACTGGCCATGTTAGGTATAAAGGGGAAGGAGGATTTAGAAATCAAACATGAGGTGTGCTTTGCTATCACTCATTCCTCGATCTTATCAGCCCAAATCAGCTTTCAGAGTTACAAGATAAGATGCTTTTAAAATGCTCTAATGACTTGCTTAGTTCTATATTGAGACCAACTTGAGGGCAGATGCCTTGTGCATTCCCATGTCTCCTGGCAAATTAAGGTTTCTAAACTAAACTTGGTTTAATTATGAGGAATTCTGTCTCTGGGTCGTTCTTCCATGAACTAAAACTGTTCCTTGTACCCTATGATACCATAACCTCTCACCTACTCACAGCTGCTAGTAGTGGTTCAGAGGTCGCTGCCACTTCGTCAGTGATACTCCTGCCATTGATCTGCCTAGGAGTTTCCAGGGCAGAAATGGAGAAATAAGGCTCCAATACAAAATAGTGTTTTCCATATATAGTGTCTGCTGCTCGTAATCCCACACCTGGGCTCCGTTCATCGAGGCAGGGTTTGTTTTGTTCAGGGCTCCTTGAGATCGCTGTTGGGCCTGGTGGCTCCTCTAGATCCAGGATTATCCAAGTCAGTCCGCAAGAACAGCAGGGCTGCAGGTTTAGTAGCAGCTTCATAATTGTACGAGAGAGTTCAGTTGGTCCAGTTAAGCTTTAATTGGTTATCAATTTGGAAATTCAGTCTTGCCCTCTTGCAGCTTTTAGGGAGATATTGTGCTGTTTAAATTTGTCTACCCTTTGTGTAGTCCGCTGACCACAAAAGAGTACAGTACTTCAATTTGAGTGTTAAGTTCAGTTCTGTTCAGGCAATAGCTCACTGGAACACCATACAACTCCAACAGGACTGCGCTTATTTGTTTACTCAAACTAACATCCTCCTAATTGCAAGGAATACTTTGTTGAATAAAAACCTTTTACTTCTTTGAATTAAGAATTGGAATCCAGGATCATTTAATTTCAAATTTAGTGTGTTGTAAAAAATGCTTCAGGATTGTCCAAATACATTTTATACTGCACCCCAACTCCAACTTTATTTACTTGGTCACAATGGGCTGTCAAAAATTATGCAACATGTACAGCAGGAGTTTTGAAGATTTTCCAAAGATAATTTTTCATGGTCAGTTTTCTGAAATACTCTTGGATGCATTTTGTTGGATAAAACAATGAAATGTAACTGACCTCTCATAGTACCAGTTAATGAGCTGTGTCGAGAAATGTAAAAAAACTGCTTTAATCTGCTATTGACAAAAAAAGGTAAGTCAGCAAAGCACATCCCCAGCCCCATTTACGGTTAAGAAAACACATTTGTATCAGAATGTCAGTGTGCTAACTGGAACTGGATTGAAGAGGGACAGATCAGGTTATCAATGGGCTTTTTAAGAAAACAAACCTGTTTTTATATTAATAGTCGTTTTCAGATGCACCTAGTTTTTAAAGACCATTAGTTTTGAATTAAAATATGCTGTGTAAGTAAGGAACTTACATTATATGCAGTATTACAAATAGCCCCACCGATCAGTACTCTGGGGGAATCCTTTGTGTGAATGGTGCATTACAATGTTAAATAATCATATTTTTAAAATGTATTTTAATTTTCACTGTTCAATGAGAAGTTTGGCTTATATCATCATAAGTCACTTTCAATATTGTGCATCCAATGAACCACATCACACCATGTTGTTCACCAAACAAACTGCCCTTTCAAGCTAAAATGGAACAAATCTCTTTCTTGCACCCCAGATTAAAGCAACTGATAGCTTGTCATGACCTGGGATGCAAATATCAGTTTGCATGTTGCGTGCTTTTGTCTGAGAAGGTTTCACAGAGCCCCATCAGTGAATGCACAGGATTGCCTATCTTGCTCTTTATTCAAATGAAAGTGAATCTGTGGTTTGTGTGACATTTACTGGGAAGGCCTTTATGCATTTAGTTAAAGTCTTGTAGTGCTCATATAATGTTTTAAATGTCTGGAAATCATGGAAAACCCTGCAACAAGACACAAAGTTCTTGAAATGTGAAATCAAGTTTAAATGCTGGGTGGGTTTTTAAACTAGCTTCATTAAAAAAGAAAATCTAGCAGTGGTTATCTGAAGAAAGCCTTGAAGTTATACTTTATCCAAATTTGGTTTTCCAAAAGCATATCTGCCATATTACTAAAATGTCAGTTTTGTCCCCGTAGTCCAGGTTGTTCTGGGAAATGTCATCAGACTGCTGGGGTATCTTCAGCACTCTTTCTTCCAGAGTGCCAGACAGTGATTCCTTCGTGAGCTTGAAAATGGAAAAATAATCATTTACTTTGAAAATGTGAAATGAAATAACATTTTCTTGTTTTCTAAGTAAGTAGAGTTGTTGATTTGTTCCTCTTAACTTTGGGGCAGATGCAGTGAGGTAGGTTAGTATTTCAGATGTTTCTGAAAGATGTACTGTACATGCCAGCTGTTCATGTGCTGAAATTTGTAATACCAAGAAAATACAAAGTTGTCTCCTTTTGTTTCCGTGAGCTCCAAAACATTTCTCACTCTGGGTCCGTCTATATTATTTTGAATAAGAGCCTGAAATCTGTGCACCACTCATGCTCGTGCAGGAAATATTGACCTAATGCAAATAAGGAGCTGTTTTGAATTGGCAGTATGCAAAATGTTTTTTTCCATCATCACATGAAGACCAATGGCCTTAATTTTATACCCACAGCAAACTTTGCTCCAGTTCATTTTCTCAGGAAATTTAAATTGCTAGAACTTTATTGTTGAATTAAAACCATTAGCCCTATATTTATTGGTCTTGTTTGGGAGGAGTTTGCAACAAAGAATACTAATGAAATTTAGATGTATCACAATGATTAACAATTTAAAGTTTGCTCTAGATCTCTTGGTCCCCAGAAGAGAAATGTGTTGAATCATGATAAAGCACTGATGTTTCTGTCAGTCTGCACACACTTAAATGTTGTATTAAAGCTTTAGTAAAGAAGAAAAACTTTTATATAGATTTGACTGGGAGTTACTAAAATACATTCACATCCTAATAAAATGGAATATATATTTAATTGAAAGACCTACATTGTGGATGAAACGGAGTTAGGAGTTTCAGGCATCAGGCAGTGCTGTTCTGCTGTTTTTATGAACAATTGATCCCTTACAAATTCGTAATAAGTGTTTAATGAGTCCAAAACCACATCATTGTTCATTTTGTTCAGCTGAACGCTAGGACAGGGGTGGCCACAGCACATTGGTCTTACAGTTCACCCCCTGCACCATCAGTTTGTGAAGATCTGGGACAACAGTGAGTTTTGATCAATATAATAATTCAGTTAAATTATTAATAGCCAACTCCTACCCTCGACAGCTGCAGGGTGTTTATTTAATTTCAGCTGAACCTGCGTCAGTGCTTAGAACAAACCTGTTCCAAGTGCCGATTTAGCAGTAATGTGTTCTACCCGCTGGACTCTCTGGAACCATGACTGACCACCTCTGAACAGACAGACCTCAGAAGAGTCTCTGCGACCACACTATCTTTTCCACTTTCTGGGCTCTTGTCTGGGGTGTAATGCTGATTATAACTTGGATAGTCATAATAATACTTTCCACATTTTCATTTGTTTCTTTGACTCATTCAGACTCCTCTCCTTCACTCATTGTGCTTCCGTTGCAAATGTATGCAAATAAGACCCATGATTTTACTGCCTGCTCGGCAAGTTAGCACTCAGTCAGAGCACAGTGTTTTCGCCAGCATCAACTTTGCACGCCAAGCCACAGGAAGTGGAAGTTAAAAATGAAGGACTTGAGGGAGATGTCAGAGGTTATGGTGTTCCTGACGAGTCTTAAAACTGTTTTTCGGGGTGGGGATTCAGAGCACAAGCTGAACTCTATGCTCCAGGTAACATGGGTTCAAGCTTGGCGTGTGGTTAATTCATTTTGACATAGACTGCCCATACTGTAGCACACAGGTGGCACAAATATGCTCCAGAAGCAGTACTTTGATTTTGGAGAAATGGTGACTCGTGCACTATACCATCATAATAATAATATTCTTACACTTATATAGTGCTTTTCTGGACACACCACTCAAAGCTCTTTAATAATGGCAATAATGGTTATAGACTCTCTTCCACCACCACCAGTGTGCAGCCCCACCTGATGCGACAGCAGCCAGAGTGCTCCAGTACGCTCCTCACACACCAGCTCTCAGGGGGAGGATGAAGTACCAGGTGCCAGCAGTCTTGCAGGAACCTCAGCAGGAAATGCACTAGTCCTCCAGCAGATGTAAACTGTCCTGTTGGGCACTGTGAAGCTTATAGTGCGTGTAAAGTAGAATGACTATGACAGGAGGGTGAGCACAGGTCACCGTTCTTCTTGTGTGAGGAGTTTGTGCCCAAGGCTGGGTCTTTAAAATGTGTTGATTCCAGATTGAGTGGGTATGTAGTTAAAACACTACTGTTAATTTAAGTTTTTTTAAAAAGGTTTTATTTGGTGGAAAATATACAGGATCATGAGTCCTGTCTCCTTTAATAATTCCTCATTCTGGTGAGCTTCTGCCTTGCAGGTTTTAAAATCCTCAGTGGCTGAAGTCGTGAAAGCTGTGACAATTTAGACCAATTCAGTAGCTAATTGATCCAATTAACTCATGAAAAGCTCAGCTGGAACACTTCCGAGTAGGGCCTTCATTCTCAGAGATGTGCCAAGTTAAATACCAGGACTCAGAGCAAATCAAGGTTTCCCTGATCCTTTGTTTTCTATTAAACCCATAACTGAATCATTTTTAGACCTTTCTGTCTGAAGATTGTGTATTCTGCACAATGGCTATTTATTTCTATAGACATACCCTGCCTTATGTGTATTTGTGTTAGTGTGTTCTGTTTTACCTGAAATACATTTGGGAGTGTGGAGGAGTGGGTGGTGTTCTGGAGTTCAAACCCAGGTTAGGATACTGCTGTTGTACACAGGCCTGAGGGACTTAATTCAGGTTGAACCATGCTATAGATAGCTAATTACATTACCTACTAATTGAACTAAAAAGGACAGTTTTTTTACCTTTTCTCTAACAATAATTTATTTATTTGATTTGTGTATTCTTTGCAAAATAATTATTTCTTGAAATTGCATAATCACCAGGAAACAATCAAATAAGACAGCATTAGACATAATAAAAAATAATGAGAGGCAATGTCTTTTTTTGTCTGCACTACTGATTTTGTTAAAACTGTTTTTTTTTTGCCATCTGTCAATCGATACATTGCCCAGTTTATTTTCGGGCAAATTATTAATCCCAATCAAGCCCTGTTTTACATCCAAAAATCCAGTTTGTCTAGAGATCAGTCTAGAGATCAATTTGTCTAGAGATCAGTCTAGAGATCAATTTGTCTAGAGATCAGCAAAATGTTTATGCTGCACACTGTCTTCCTTCACAGCAGAGCTTCCCAGTTCTGGTGTGTGTAAGCCAGTGTTTTCCCATTTCATTCCTGTTGAATTCTTTGTTACTTAATTAAACCCTTAACTGAAGGTTTTAAGACCTTTGGCTCAATTATATTCAGATGATTCGCAGTTCCCGTGTTTCTCTCGTTTAGGATGCAGGTTTCAAATTGCTTCCAGTATTTACTGTTTGTCAGGGAACTCCTCAAGCTTAAATAGCTGAAAACATCTGGTTCATGTAAATCAAATAACTAGTGCAATTAAGGATTCACTGAATGACCTGAGAGCTCAGCTCACAACACAGCACACAGCAGAGTTGGTCAATACAAGGGCTACTCATCTGAGCTACTGTCAGTGCCTCAGTTGCTATATTAACCACAAATTGCACAGCACTGCTTTTCTCATAATTAACCTGCTAGACTGATGCCATTCCAAACATTCCTAATAAGTGGCCAATCTACCTCTGATATGCAATGTCAGTTTCTGGTAGGGCCAAAACATTTTTGTAATTATTTAAATGAGATTAAAACCCAGAAGACACAGGAGGTTTGGAGGAACAAATTTGAGGGCACAAAATGCTATTAGGAGCTGCTCCTCATCTAAAAGGGTTTAACTGACCTCTGAACCCAATACAGGACTCTGGCACAGTTCCGGTACAGCAAGACCCTTAATTATATCATTAAGCTAGCAAATGGTGAAACAAGCAATTAAATTGTTTGTGCCAAAACCTTGCATTTCTATGTACTGGAGTAGCAGAAATGTCATTGAAGTCACAAGGAACTAAGGAATAAATCACCCACCTGGAACGTCAAGATGCCCCAAGCTCCCTCTTGCATCTTTTATAAGCCTGTCTAATGTGCTGGTGTTCTTATGCTTCAAATTGCATCTTAAGGCAAAACTGGAAAATGGTAAAAAGATCATTTTATACACTGTAAAATCACTGATTTCTAAATCAGTGACGTGATGCTCAGACTTTGTAATGGTGTACAGAGGCTACTTGCGTGCTAACAGATGCACTATCAGATGCGACTGTCAGATGCACAAATGCATAAATGACAAAATATTATTGTGTTTCATCTGTGATTTTCCCCAGAATACCGACCAGCAGAGGGATCTATGCCGAAACTGTGGTGAGACCGTTGAGGTGCCGCAGGGACTGGAGTAAGTACAGCGTCTTTCCTCAGTGTCTGTTTCACCTGCTGAGATTTCAAGGGGTCACTATCAGGGAGGAGGACTGAGTGTTAATAATAAGAAATTAAAACACGCACCTACTGCCTCTAAGTTGACCAATTCAACCAAATCAACGCGACACTTAGAGACACACTGTCTGTAAATTGAAACAAATTAACACGCTAACCACACACTGAGTTACTCAATCATCGGGTTATTCTGTTCCTGTCAATCAAACCTTCCACAGACCAGAGGGTCTGTAATTTTTGGAATTTCCGCAATACCAAAAAAGACCACAAGAGGTCAGTAAAACATTGGCAAGGAGAGACTTGAAGAACTTGTAAACGGTGGCAGGTATTAGCTTGGGGGAAAAAAAACAATTTGAACTATTTACAGGAAACCTAGAAAAATGAGACGATCAGAAGGTAAAATGGTTGCTAGTGGAAGCCTGTGTAAGAATCTGTGACAGTAGATGCATTTTTCTTGTGAATTATAGTATTGTTTTTAGAAATTCAAAGATTCACTATATTGTTTAACATTTTTGTGTTGGCCATGTAGCTTAGTTTCTACACTCACCGGCCAAATTATTAGGAATCACCCAGTCACATGAACAGACTATATATGAGAGTACACTATTTGTGTCACACAAGCCAGTTTTCAATCTCTCAAATGGCCATGGCATTTTTCGTAGTTGTCAGCTGGGGTCGTCAGGAAATGAACTGATGGGGGTTTTAGTCCAGAGGAATGACATTCGGAGGGGATCCCTGTCCAGGTGTTGGAGGACAGCACAGCTCCTGGTTTTCATTTCATTTCAGCCGAGCTCAGTTACCTAATCGAAGCCTGAACTGAACTAACAAGTTGCATCAATGGAACATATTTCTCCTCAGAAGTTTGGGATTTTATATTATGTTTAAGGCAAAGTTCAGCATGTTTAAGAGCTGAAAACAGCTGAACAGCTCACTTTAAAACTATTATTAAGTCTTTGGGTTCTGTTGCTTTGTATAACTGAGAGCTCAGCTGCCACAGAAAGCTGCAGGTGTGTGTGGCCTCCAGGACAAGGGTTAGGAGCCGTGGGCACAGGCACCCCTTCACTCCATATGGACTTTCAAGACACCAGCTGAAAGCAACAACTCGTGTATCAGAGATTGTTAGCTGAGACAATACCATGTCTCTGCTGTGAAGGAACACTAAATGTATGAATGGGTAAATATCGCAACAGGCTAGTTAGACTTTCTTTTTCTGTGTTTTCTTATCCCTGCAGCCCTGAGACGGCGTGTCGCTGTTTCTGCGTACTTAACGAACAGAAAGGATGTCTGGTGATGGACACTTCGAGCAGGGAAACACAATCCAATGACTTTAAGGCAGAGCAAGTCAGGGACAGTGAGATCGACAGCTGTGGTGGTGAAATAGAGTTCATCGGAACGAGTAAGAAACGAGGCAAGGTAAATCAACCTCATGAATAATCAAAGCCTGAAAGGAGTGCCTGTACCCCGACTCCAGCTTTATTCAAATTGCACACGCCTGAAAAGCAGCCTAGGCCCAGTGGCTGGTTACTCAGTGTTTGTATCTGCTCTGGTTTGTGGTTGATGCTTTGAAGGAAGTTGTTCTCTGTCTGTCAAGTCTGCTGACTATAGCAGAGTGATATTATATCTGTGTACAGCTTCTAACTTTTCAGGTAGATTAATTCTGATTTGTCATATATATAGGGTTCTGTCTATTACACACTCCTACATGCAAGGTTAAGAAAGAAGTATCAGTATTTTTCTAAGCTATTTCCAGTGTTAGTGCAGTGCACGGATCTGGGGAGATCTAATAAGATAGATGATGTCTCCTCATGACAGTACAGCATCCTGACTGCACTGGATGAGCTATTCACCTCACTTCATTATTTAGTTATGTCCTAAGAAAGTGTGCAGCAGGAACTGAAAATGCTCCTTCATGAGGAGCCACACTGAGAGCCTGAGGTCTTCCCATGCAGAGAGGTTTCTAAACTGTGTATCATCTGGGCGCCAGGGATCCCTGTTATTACAGCTGGCAGAGTCCAATCAGTGCATGTGAGTCCTGAACATTCCCTCGTAAGACCATGTACATGAAATAACCTTCTTACATTCCATTGTTGTCCTTGCCTTGAAGATCCTCTTTTGTTTGTTTCGGCTCTTTTCAAATCTTTTTGCCCCCCTTCAGCACCTGATTGTGTTTCGACCCTCTCTCCCCAGAGAGGTGAGTCTCTGAGTGTCCCCAGGAGATGGTGCGATTTTGGGGGTTAATGCCATGCTTTGCCTGTGCTGTCTCGCTGCTGCAGTTCATCAGGGTGCACTGCACCACCGACCCGGCCGCCATCTACGAGCTGCTGACGGAGGAGTGGTGCCTGATGGCCCCCCACCTGGTGGTGTCCCTGGTGGGGGGAGACGAGCTCTTCCAGATGAGGCCGTGGCTGAGGGACACAGTGAGGAAAGGGCTGGTGAAGGCCGCCCAGAGCACAGGTCAGCAGAGGTTGCGATTACTGCTGCATCTACATGTGTGGCTGTCGCTTTTACCCTGAACAGCGTACATTTCCCCTGCCTATACTGTTTACACACTGACTCCAACCAGCCGACTCATGATGGTTTCGCATCTGGATGAGCTATTCACTTCAGTAAGTAGTTATGTGCCAAGAGGGTGTCCAGGTAATGTCACAGCGACAGGAACTGAAGATGCTCCAGATTTCTGGAAGCACCTTCTCGAGGAGCAGTACAAAAATTTACTGGAGCAGTTCAGGTGAAGTAGCTCGCTCAGGAGAACAGCAGCAGTGCCCCTCCTGGGATTTGAACCCACAGCCTTTCAGTTACTTCCACAGAATCCTAACCCCTGCGATTGAAGCCATTTTGGTTTAGTCTTAAACTGGAAAGATTTGAAGGGGCTCTGGTTCAAATGTTCAGGCACTGACAAGTCAACAGTGAAACAGAAACCAGTGCACACAGGTGGAAACGAGAGGGGGGTATGGGTTAGGAACTGAAATCCCTTCTTTACTCCCAGGGTTGTGGGAGACTGGAACAAGCCAGGCATGTTGTTGAAGCCAACACCCCAGCTTCTTCAAGTAACAACTGGATGAGATCCTGGGATCAATTAGCTAATAAAATCCAAGCAAGTTAGAAGCGCTGAATGGCCTCCTCTTGTTTGCAAACCGCATTACGTTCTACAGTAAGTTTAAAGTCTAAAGGACAGTAAGTCATGGGACCTAGTATGGGTCCGAGTCCTCAGCCTCAGTCTCCTCAGAGACCTCCTCGGATTCGCAGGAGGAGCTCAGCCCCCAGACTGGGCAGGCCGTCCCAGCCACCTGCCGCTCGTCAGCCCTGATTAGCACTGCACCGCCCGGGGCTCAGTTACTGAGCTGCTCTCAGACCTGAGAGCTCTGTCCTGCTCCCCGTCCTGCTGCTGGCAGTCAGGTTCAGGTCCTCGTCAATCTCCAGTCCCTCACCAGCACGGCTCCGGCTGCGCCGTCTGCTGCTCTCCGCTGCTGCCGAGTCTTCCTCCGGGCCCACCTGGGAGGCCTCGGTGTTTCCGTTAGGTCTCCTCTCCGCACTTGCTTCTGCCTTGTATTCCACCATTACAGTAAACCAGCCTGTAAGGCACATGGGCCCTTAATTCCTCACCACGCCGCCGGCTGTTAGTCAGCAGTAACAGCTCGACCCTTCCGACTGCGCAGGTGCCTGGATCCTCACCAGTGGGCTGAGGTTTGGCATCACGAAGCACCTGGGGAAGGCCGTGAGAGACCACTCCTTGGCCAGCACGTCCTCCAAGGTGAAGGTGGTGGCCATCGGAATAGCTCCTTGGAAGATGATCCACAATAAGGAAGTTCTGCTCACTGCCAAGGTCAGCTTCCTTCTGTGTGTTTGCAGTAAGCGTTTGGAGGGAAAGCAGACTGTCCGCGCAGAGGTCCTGGGACTTTACGACCTGGCATAATGCACACATAAACAAAGAGTCAGTTGCATTCTGTGCGAAAGCTAAAAACGAATTGTACTTTGACCAATTTGGTTGGTTGTCATTTAAAAATCAAATGTCATTATTACTCAGCTTCCTCATTTATGATACTTTCCATTTTTGTTGTGTCCTATTTCCACTTTTGGAAGCTCAAGAATGAAATTGTTTGCAGGGATGAAAATGAGTCTGTCTTTGAGTATCTCTTGGGAGGTGTTGTGCACTGTTCATAGAGCCTGGATTACTGCAGACTTCCTGCTCTCCTCTGACAGCACTTTGTGCAGATGCACACTGAGGAAGTGGTGTATTAATCCCAAGTGTCTGGACTTCACCAGACACTTTCTCAAAGATGGAATTGTAGTAACCAACATGCTAAGATGCATGCCAATGAAAATAGATACAGTTCTCAAACAAAATGGGAACATAGACAAGGAAACTAAGATATTAGTAATATATATACATTAATTTGGGTTTTAAGACAAACATTTTACCCCATTTATAGCATTATTACCTCAACACCTCTTTGTCTTTGGTAAGAACATAAGAATGCTAACACAGGAGAGGTAAATGCTCTATCCTTGTGTCCTCATTTCATGTTTTCTGCTCTTCACAGCCAGACAAGCCTGCCTTGTATCAGTCAGAAGACCTTCCACATGGCTCAGTCTACTCTCTGGACTGCAACCACTCCCATTTCGTACTGGTGGATGAGGATGAAGAGCACCCAGGAGGAACCACAGAGATGAGGATCAAGCTACTGAAACACATATCTGAGCAGCACACTGGGTATGGGGGTAGGTGTTCAGCTCACTTTTAGTTTCACAGTGCACTTTTCTCGTCATGACATCACGCGCAAGGGTGGTTCAATGGGTTTTGAACCTAATTCAGATGGGAATGCCAGAAAACATTACAGTAAGTCTAAATCCATGTTGAATACACCCAAACACTACATCACAGATTATTAATTGAAATGTGTCCTTTATACAGTAGATAGGCTAACACTGATGCTGAAACTAAAAAGAGCCTTGTCTTTGCCATGACAGTTTTGATTCTGGAGAACACTTTCAACAGGCATTCAGAAATCTTATTTGGTACACTGTTCATTTCCACCACAAACCGTGATGACAGGAGGGTGCTTGATTCTCATTAACATCGTCACATTTTGACTTGGTATAAAAAGGAAATTCTAAAAGCCTTTCAGGACACGTTAGTGTGTAATTCAACTGTTCAGCTAAGTCTTGTTTTATTCAGTGGTCAGTTGTATTAGCTGCACATGTATATGTGCTGTGTAACAGAGGCAAAACCACCACCATTGCTTTGATACCAATCCCCACTCACCAGCTGAACACTGTACAGATACAAGACATCACAGTGAAGGTTTGAAATGAGATTTATTTTGGTGCCGTTTTCGGAGAACATCAAAGAAGACATGCACAAGATGTATCTCCTATGGTGCTCTGAATGAATACAAATTTTGCAGTAAGTTTTAGAGTCTGAGTAACAGTCCAGTCACACTCAGTTATTGCCATGAATGGCTGTTTGGAAGTGGCCATTGCATATGCATTAGAACTATAATTTATATGATATTGTACTTCCACACATGGCACACAATGTCACAGGTGTTTGTTATTTACAGTGCACTCAGTCCAGGGTCAGGACTGAACCCAAGTCTGGTCAGATTCTACAACACCCTTCATACTGCTGCAAAAACTTGTAATAATGAACTTTATTTTATACAGCACCTTTAAAAGGAACCATCTTAAAGCACCTTCTGATTTGACATGACAGCTGCTCTAGCCCACCATGTGAGCCATTCTGGAGAACTGGCAGAGTCATGCCAGTGAAGGTGTAATACAGATGGGGTCTGTTACGCCCAGCAGTGCTTGTGTTTTTCTCCACTTCTCTCATGACCTGGTGTGGCTCTGCTGGTGGCTGAGATGAGAATTACAGCCCCTCTCCCTGACCTTCTTCCAGGAACCGGCAGCATTGAGATCCCTGTTCTCTGCTTATTGGTTCATGGAGAACCCAAGATACTGAAGGTGAGAACTCCTTTAAACAGTGCCTTTCCTTTCCAGATTGCTAGGTGTTTTGTAATAGAAAATCATTTTTTCTATCTACTTCTTTTTATTTTTGTTGTGTTTAATTTTTTTCCCCTGAAAAACATAAGCTGCCCAAGAGTGTTATTAGTGATGTTACTCTAGAGTTAGTGATGTAAGCTGCAGCAGAACACTGTGGTATTGGTATACCTGCTTTATAACAGTTCTCCTGTGTATCTTACTTGGGTGGCCCCTAGTGTCCTGTTCACCTGCTGTTCTGTTGGTACCTTTTCTTCACCCTAGAGGATGTACAGAGGGATGATCAACTCCACACCATGGTTGATCTTGGCTGGATCAGGGGGGATCGCTGATATCCTGGTTACCCTCATGAATGGCCCCTGTGACCCCGACTCTGTACAGGAGCAGCTGGTGGAGACTTTTCACACAGAGTTTGAGTGGGCAAACATTTCAAAATGGACCAAACTTGTAAGTATCGCAAGCTCCCTGTGTGTCGATAAGAATTTCACACATCTCACTGGCTCACCTGCAGCTGTTGAAGTGGTTGGAAAGATAGATGTTATTTCACGCCTGGAGATTTGTGAAAGAGATCAGTACTGTTCACAAGTCTGTTTTAAAGCACAGTGAAAAAACTGAGCTTCTTTTCCATTATAACAGATTCATAAAATCTTAGAGCACAGACACCTCTTGACAGTTCATGACCCAGAGCAGGAAGGATCTGAAGAGCTGGACACTGTCATTCTCCGTGCCCTGGTCAAGGGTAAGATCTGTTGCCATTTCTTTCTGCACAATAGCAATGACTCACAGAAGAAATCTCAGCGTTAAAAAAATCCCTGAAACCTAAGTTATGTTCGTACAAATGTGCAACGAACACTTTAATTCCTATTGGAAATGATCATACAAGACAGCTCTGAACAATTTGAATTGTTTCAATATCACTGATGTTTAATGGCTTTTTTTTCAAACTATTTTATTCATAGTGAATAAATGAGGCATGTTTATAAAAAGTTGCATTTCTAGACTGTACAACACTGTGAAAGGAACAGCATATCTGGCTAATGTCTCATTTGGACAGTCTCGAGGTTTTACAGGCGAATAGGGGCTGGTGGATAAGAAAAACACCAACAGGAAGCACAATTCAGGAGGCAAGAATCTACAGAACGAAAGGGACAGAAGACAATCTTGAGTCCATCTAATGGAATCAGTGTCAAAGTGTTGCAGCTTTAATTACCAACCATTGTTGCTGATATTCATTAATGTTTTGGTGCCGCTGTATTTTACTTCTGTAATGTGAAATGCTGAGAATAGGATCTTATTCCTTCAGCTTGCAAGAGCCAAAGCCAGGAAGCTCAGGATTATCTTGACGAGCTGAAACTGGCCGTAGCCTGGAACAAAGTGGACATAGCCAAGAGCGAGATCTTCAACGGAGATGTGGAGTGGAGGGTGAGGACTGTGCAGGTGTTGGCACTGCTGACACAGTGGGTTTTCATGGTGGTCTTGTGATTGTACACTGAAAGTTTACGCAAAATTGACAGGCATCAAGTTCATCAGACATTTGGAAATGAATTTCACTTACTTTTACTTTTTAATTGTAGTGTATTTGCTGAAACAGAGGCAAGGTCAACGTTGTTAGGCCTTCTGCCTCTTGGGTTTTGATTCCCAGCAGGAGGGCCCTCCATGTGCAGTTTCCTTGTACTGTCTGTGTCCACTGTAGTTTCCTCCCACCACCTAGAGACACGGTGGTTAATTAGTTTCTGTGTGTGTGCTTGTGGGATAGCTCCAGATTGTTACAGCTCTCCCCGGGGTCTTTGTCCCTCATTGAAAGAACTGCAATATGTTTCTATAGGAATTTTCAGATCCCATTTCATCCATATAAAGAAAAAGTTGAAAATGTTCTTTGGGACATTTTGATTGATAGCTTTATATTGAAATTATCAGAACAAATTTCAAAGGTATCTTTTTTTAGATGCAAAATTTGCTCAAAGGAGTGTTTGTACTTGAATTAAAACATAAAGACAGTGTCAGCCACAACTGGAAGAGCACACAGCTTCACTCATGAGTACACACTTAGGCATTTTGAATAGAAGCCATTGGAGTTTAAGATTTCAGCCTGAGCTACAGCTGGAGCTAGAAACACTGACAATTTGTATATGGTGTTTAGTTTAGAGATTTTGGATCAGTTACTTCCTAACAAGCATGGCAGGTGTTGACCTAGCAGAAATCAGAACCACTACCTTAGATATTATGGTGTCATTTCTCCTATGAAGTGAAGATGTTGGGAGAGAAGTTAGAGTTCTGGACTTGTAACTGGAAGGTTGTGGGCTCAAATCTCAGTTGAGATACTGCTGTCGTAGCTTTGAGCATGTTTCTTCACCTGAATTACCAAAGTAAACCCAGCTGTATAAATGGGTACAAAAGGAAGTTGCTTTTGAAAAAACATCAGCCAAATAAATTAATAATTAATTTTTCCATCAGTGTGGCATAGCCGCGGTCTTGGAGAGATTAGAATTCCAGCAGGACTTATGAGCCTTCAAAAAAACGATTAAAATCTTTAAAAGTGTGTCTGATCCGTCTTGAGCACGGATCCCCTCCTCAGATCCGGGCTACTTGAGCGGGATCATTTGGTTAACGAGCTAAGACACTTGGACAAGATTTGTTACAGCCAGCCCTTCGGCGATGTCTTGCCAGGCATGTGACCTTGAAGAGGTAATGATGGACGCTCTGGTCAACAACAAGCCAGACTTTGTGAAGCTCTTCGTTGACAATGGGATAAACATGAACGAGTTCATGACCTACGGGAAGCTCCAGGACCTGTACTGCTCCGTTTCGGAGAAGAGCCTCCTGCACGAGCTGCTCCTGAAGAAGCACGAGGAGAAGCAGCTCATCCTGGCAGCCCGCAACCCCGGCGGCCACCACGAGTCTGTCCCGAAGAAGACACGCTTCACGCTCCACGAGGTCTCCAAAGTCCTCAAGGACTTCCTGCACGACTCCTGCAAAGGCTTCTACCAGGACAGCACGAAGAGAACTCCGACAGTAGGTATCTCTTCTGCTGCCCTGGTGTGCGTGTGTGTTTACTTGTGTCCCATCCAGGGTGTATCCTGCCTTGTGCCCATTTCTTGCTGGGATGGGCTCTGCCTCCCCTGTGTTGAATAAAGAGATAGAAACTGAGTGGATGGATGGATAATGCATTGTCATCACACATAGACGACAGTGTCTTTACCATGCTGCTGCTGCTGCACTTGAGTATGGAGGTACCATTGCGCACTGTGGTAAACATTTATTAAAGTATCTCATGGTGCTTTTTAAGGTCTAGTGTAGTAAAGCACAGTAAAGGCATTCTGAAACCATAGGAAATTACAGCACAACTATGGTAAAACCATAACTACACCATGTTTCAAGAGCAAGATTGATACATTGATGCCAAGTGTTAGTCTTGATGAAGGTGGTACATATGGGACTTAATGGATGTGTTGTGTTTTTTTTAGGAAAAGTCTGGAAAGACGCGGACATCTCATGGAAACAAGTGCTTACCGGATATGAGCCAAAAATGTGATAACCCCTGGAGAGATCTGTTTCTGTGGGCTGTACTTCAGAACAGGCAGGAGATGGCAAACTTCTTCTGGGCCATGGTAAGTCACTCGAACAAGGCATAACAATCTTCTAATGTGTGAGGCGTTTGATGCACTGTAGCAGCTTCCTAGATTTCCTTTTTGTTTAAGCCTGCTCTAGGAGATGACCCACAGCAATGGGTGACAACAAGGAAATTACACTACAGAAAGCAGCAGTATTAGACTGTGTATATTAAACACTAGTCAAAACACTCAGTACTCAGCCTGCACTCTGTGCAGAAAGCTAAAGATGTCTAGAAACATGAGATAAAAGATGAGATCAAGCTCTATCACAGAAAGCACTCCAATTAGCTAACATAACTGTATATTGTTTTTCTGCATGCCAGTGCAGGGAGATTCAAGCTTCAATAAGGAATTTAGAGTCTTCCTTTGAGCATGTAAATTTGAAGTAATCCATTAAAAGCTGTAAAATGTTTTTAATGTTTTTAAATTATTAAGTTTCTCCTAGCTGTTAATTCCTATGCTCGAAAGGATGTCGCGTCTTTTTCATGTGACCCTGAACTGAGCCCAGCTGAGCCACTTGCTTATGTCTTTGAGCTGGCTGGGCCCTTTCCCTTAACCTGCTGTCCGTGTTCCCGGTGCACAGGGGCCTGAGGCAGTGGCTGCCGCGCTGGCCGGCTGTAAAATCCTGAAGGAAATGGCTCACCTGGAGTCTGAGGCCGAGTCTGCGCGGAGCATGAAAGAGGCAAAATATGAGCAGTTCGCCCTGGGTGAGTACATTTCACATCAGTGCTGCTCTCTCTTAGTCACAATCCACTGCCATTTAGCCCTGGTGCAAGCCCACTTTCTTCATAGTTCTGATTTTGGTAATTACTAGCAATTGTTTAACACCTGCAAATCACTCACTCAGCAGCACTTAATCATTGGTTTTAAAACCAGCAGGGCCTTTGCTTTAAACAACTAAACCTGTCGAGATAACTGGGAAATTAGCAGTCTGCCAATAAAGACGACAACAGTAATACTTTTTGCACATAAATAATAAAAAACCTGTAAAAAGCTTGAACCTAAGCTTTAAGTCTATTGAAAGACATATAAAGACATACATAATGCTTAAAGGGCACTGACATAGTAATAAGTATGCGCTAATCAATGAAGCACATACTAATCAATGAAGACAAACAGTTTGCAAAGAGCCTGTGCTGGAGATTTTCTTAAACTGTTTGGGACTGGAAGTAGACTGAAACAGTGGTTCAGAAATTCTGCACGTGTTCCGCTGCTGCTGCAGTTCAAATATCCTCAGCGGCCTTCTGCACTGCACTGTGCTTGCAGACCTGTTCAGCGAGTGCTACTCGAACAGCGAGGACAGGGCCTACGCTCTTCTGGTGAGGAAGACCAAGTACTGGAGCAAAGCCACCTGCCTCAACCTGGCCACAGAGGCCGATGCCAAGAGCTTCTTTGCCCACGATGGAGTTCAGGTAGGAAGAGTCTGGCACAACCGAGCTGCTAAGATACCAGACACAGCAATAATAATTCCTATCAGATTTCCTTGTATTTCTGTATTTCTGTAGTGCTTTTCAACCACAAGAATCCCAAAGATAGTAACACACTGGAGGGGACCCACTTCACCATCCCCCAGCGCAGTGCTGCCCTCATCTGGGTGAAGCTGGCAGTGTGCGCTAGTTTATCGTGTCCCACGTATTATCGTTTGTACTGCCTCTGATATTAATAAAAGCATCATAATCAGAAACAGGTCAGACCTAATGTCAGACATACCGAACTCTGCAATAATGAAACTGATGAGGATATTAGAATTAGAGCTGTGGATAAGGTAACAGGAAGGCTGTGGGTTCGAATCCCAGCTGAGACACTGCTGTTGCTGATGCAGTACTTCACATGAATTGCTCCAGTAAAATCCCCAGATGTACAGGTGCAAATGTAAGTCGCTTTGGATAAAAGCGTCAGCTAAACAAGAATTAGTAAGAATAGTAATACTGAACGTACTTACTGCTCTCTTCATGAGTGTACTCTCCCCATCATCTCCATTCCCTCCCCTCTCTTTACACTCCTATAACCCTTCTCCTTCTCCCTCCTCTGCTGCTCGTTCCGTCTCTCGCGCCTCCTGTGGTGCCTCCACAGGTCTACATCATCTCCAGTCACCTGCCAATGCCTCCTCCGGACCCAAGTGCACATTCCCTGGATTTAGATATCCCTGTGCTTAGTGCGGCAGCTTGTGCTTGTTCTGAATGTAAGGTGCCTTGGGATAAGGTGTTTGCTCAGTACTAATGTACATCTAGACTAAGGCTGTCTAGATCATAATTTAACAGAGATAATGCAGGTGTAACAGGCCTGGGCAGGAAAGTGGCTGTTTACACCTCAGGACCTGACAGAGGGGAAGGAAAACTTGAAAATTCCACAGCAAAGTTAGTGTTTCTTTCAGTTTTGCAGAACATTCATTGAATGAATGTTGAAGAATTGGCATCTCAGTTTTTATTTCTTAGATCTTGTATTTCTAATATAGTGACAGCTGTAGAGCCAATACGTGTTCAGTGCAAGGGAGGAAAGTGTGGTGACGGTGGTGACAGTGACCTCTACAGGACAATAATTGTACTGCATCCTCCATCTGACCTTTAGCAGTACAGAGTCAGCATGTGGGTTTTGAAGTCTATTTCATTTTTCTTCCAGGCACTGCTGACAAAAATCTGGTGGGGATCCATGACAGCAGACACAGCGATCTCAAAACTAGTGGTGTCTTTCTTTTTCCCTCCACTAATATGGACAAACTTTATAAAATTCAGGTAGAAATAATAAATCCACACACTATATTTTACTCAGTATTAGGCAGCACAACTTTGACTTTACATGTGTGCAATACTTTTACAGTTTACATAATTCATAGTGAACGCTTGCTCGTAAGACACATCATCCCCCCGAAAGATTTCTTGTGAGACCTATATATATAGAAGTACTGTCAATAAGCATTAGCTATCTGTCAGAAGTTGCAGAATGAACTCTGAAGGTCTAGTCTGTGCCTCAGCATGGCCCTGCAGGAGGCCTGACGGGGTCTGCTGTCCCTGTGTCCAGCAGTGAGGACGAGCAGCATGGCGGCCGAGGAGGAGAAGAGTTTGCGGAGCTGGACAGCCTGGACACAGAAAAGGCCCTGTTGCTCACAGAGGAGGAGAACATGTATGTGATGAGCTGGGGGTTTTACAGGGTGTGTGTGTGTGTGTGTGTGTGTCAGGGAGCAGCTGTTCCAGCAGGATAGAAGACAGGACTTTGAGAAATCTGTACTTCTAAATCATGAGGGGCTCACGAGGTTCAAATTGCTTCCTCCACACAAACCTAGATTCCCGCCAACCAGATTCAAACACCTCCAGGTCCCATTTTTCCAAGTCTGTTGACATTCGTAAAAGGAAAACACAAACCAGAGCAAAAGTAGCATTTCCATCCAGCATGAAGTTTTCTTTTAAAAATCCCATCTCAAATGTCTCATAATTCTTCAAATAACACAGATTTGTATTTTTGTAAAATTTAGGAAATTTAACTCGATGTTCAGCGAAAAGGAATTGAATTTCAAATGCTGAAACTGAGGAGCAAGTTTTGATTGGCTTGAGTGTGGTGATTAGAGTACACTGAGCTGGTGACTGTCTGGAGGAACTGAGGAATATGGTATTCTGTCTGCATTAGCTGTGTATTTGTGGTATGAATGCAGTGTACAATTTTGTGTAAATGTGTGTATCCTGGAGCTAGACCTGATGCTGTGGTGTACTGTAAGAGATAGCTTCCGGTTCTTGAAGGGCCACATCAGTGTAGCTGCAAACAGGAGGAAACCATGTTGCTCGCTGCTAAGTGCTGATTGCTCATGCATGTGCAGCAGTCTGGGGAGACGTCCTCCTCTGCCTCTGCCTGTGCTGAGATCTGTGTGTTTATACACATTTCCCAGAGAGAGCAGGAAGGTCGAAAGCCAGAGCCCACAGAACCACAATGTCTGGAGCACGTTCCTGTTCAGGAGGTGGCAGCGGTTCTGGAGCGCTCCCGTGACCGTGTTCCTGGGCAACGTAATCATGTACTTCGCCTTCCTCTTCCTCTTCACCTACGTGCTCCTGGTGGACTTCAGACCCCCTCCTCCCGATGGGCCCTCCATGGCCGAGATCACCCTCTACTTCTGGGTCTTCACCCTGGTGCTGGAGGAGCTGCGACAGGTCAGCACCCCCAGGGGCTGGGCAGCGTGCCCTCAAGCCAGTCCTGTCCGCCTAGAAATAATAAACCACCTGACTGCTAGAGATACACTGTAAGATTTTTTTGCAGGAGCCTTCAAAAAGAAAATATGAGAAACGTTAGAACGTTAACGTGATTAATAAAGAACAGCTTCCAGGTAAAGAAAATGAACAATAAATTGAAAGCAGAAGTCAAAAGGCTTTTATATAAAAAGGTAGTATAGGCCAAGAGAACAAGAGAAAGGGACATTGCAGTGAGATCCAAAATGAATAATGCGTTGTGTTGAACTTTGCCCTCAGAGCTTCTTCACTGATGAAGACACCAGCATCGTGAAGAAGTTCAAGCTGTATGTGGAGGACAACTGGAACAAGTGTGACATGGTGGCTATTCTTCTCTTTGTGTTTGGGGTGTCCTGCAGGTCAGCTCATTAAAACAACTTTATTTCTTGTTACAGTGAATTACTGTGCAACAGTTGTAATCTTCTGTGTCTTTCCGTAGACCCACGATTGGTTATATTCCAACAGAACCTACACCATCTCAGAGCTGAGCTGACTGACAGAGAGATGTCCCTATAGCTGCTCAGAGCTGTGCTGACTGACTGGGAGGTGTCTCTTCTCCAGCTCAATGCTGTGCTGACTGACTTGGAGGTGTCTCTTCTCCAGCTCAGTGCTGTGCTGACTGACTGGGAGGTGTCTCTTCTCCAGCTCAGTGCTGTGCTGACTGACTGGGAGGTGTCTGTTCTCCAGCTCAGAGCTGTGCTGACTGACTGGGAGGTGTCTCTCTACCAGCTCAGAGCTGTGCTGACTGACTGGGAGGTGTCTCTTCTCCAGCTCAGATCTGTGCTGACTGACTGGGAGGTGTCTCTTCTCTAGCTCAGTGCTGTGCTGAC